CTAATCAAATTAGCTAAATGAGTCTTATATTAAGGATCGGAGGAGTAATATTTTTTTGCCAATTATTATTATTTGGCAATAGACACGATGATCCCATCTTTGGCCAAACAGTATCCTTAGCTGTGTCTCTCTCTAAATCTGTGGGCCATGCACGTGCTTTGCCCCACCCCCCTGGCCTCCTTCCCTAATCCCTATATATCCCCACCTTCTTTCTCACTACCTTCACCATCAAATTCTCTCTGATCTCTGCTCACCCCTCTCTCTTTCTCTCTCAAGTCTCCATGGCCATAGTTGGAAAGCTAACCAAGCTCAAGTCTGCCATCAAGAGGTGGCCTTCTCTCACCAAGCTCAGCCGCTCCAACTCCTGCGTCTCTGCCGCCCCCCGCGACGTCGCTCATCAACACTCCTCATCATCATGACAACAAGCTGGACCTCCACCCCGTCTACGTCGGGCAATCCCGGCGCCGCTACCTCATCCCCTCCGACGTCGTGGACCACCCGTGGTTTCAGGAGCTGGTGGATAGGTCTGCCTCCGCCGACGACGGCGTCGTGGTGGCGTGCGAAGTGGTTTTGTTCGAGCACCTGCTGTGGATGCTTGAAAGCACGGAGACTCTGCAGGGATCCATGGACGAGCTTGTGCAGTTCTACAATTGCTCAAACTGATCCGACTGACTCTTTAATTTCAATTCATTATTTGAAGAAATGAAGCTTACTATTAGATCCAGGTAGGAGAAGGAGAGTCTTGTGGGTGGCTTCTCTGGTTGGGAATTCATTAGTTTAATTGCTACTTGTTATGGCTGCAACTGCAAGCAAACTGATTTCTGATGAGTCCAAGCAATTGTAATTATGATCATTATTAATGAAATTGTTGAAATTTAGTACATTAACTAGGAGCCTTTCCTACTTGTACTCTTCCTTCACTTGCCAACTCTCTGCAAGCTTTACCTTTTTTTTTTTTTAAATAAAAAAATGCATATCCTAACACCTAAGAATTTGAAATTACAAGTTGGTCAAATTCGTAATTTTTTATTTATATAAGAGAGTTTCGTATCACTGGATTTTAATATTATTAACTACAACTTTATTTTATCAAACTGAGTGAGTTTTATATCGCATCTTTGATCCTTGCGCTTTACTAATTTGCTCTCAAGGCCGTTCAAATTTGGATCATTACGGAATTTAATTAAAAAAAATACTTAAAATAAATCTTTAATATTGATATGTTTAAAAATTAATTAAAAAAGAGATATGCAAACATAAAACAAACCATTTTAATAAATAGTACATACATGTTCTGCCTCTATTTTTAAAAAAACGGAGGTTTAACGGTAATTTTAATCGTTATTAAATAGGTTTATTATTTTTAAATCAGTCGACGGTTATTAAAATTTGTCAGCGTCCTTAAAAACCAGCAGAAACAAACAAAAATGCAAATTTGATGCTCCTCTTATTCTCCAGCTCACTAGCAAGTAGCAACCCTACCAGGTATCTTTTATACTAATGAAACTATATATATATATATATATATATAATATCGTTGATTTGGATGTGATATTCCAATTATATATCTTTAATTGCTGGTAAAAAAAAATTACATATCTTTAATTTTGCTTCCATTTCTGCTGTTCTTCCATTATATTATTTGTTACTGCTTGTGATCGCTTTTTGGCAATGATTACTATAAAAAGATTTGTGCTAATTAATAATAGGATTTTGAAGTAGTCAAACAATGCTACTGTTGAACCATGTTCTTAATTACAATAGTCAAGGAATCTGAGAAAAGGACCGGTTACAGTCTTGCAGTTAAATAAAAATAAAACTTTTGAAACGCAAATGTGCACATGAGGGGAATCATGAAGTGTGGAGAAGAACGAGAAAATTTTTAATGAATTGAGAAAGAAGGAAACAACAGAAGCGAGTAAATTAAGAATGCTTTTTGATGCAAACAACTAACGAAAACCTATGCCGAAATCACAGGATCCATCCAGCCAAGCGTTTTTGGTCTGCCTTTTGAGAAAAAGCTGGAATGGGATTTTGATGCTTTCTATATCACACTTTTTGTCTGTTTGCTTCCTAGTTAATTTAGTTTATACATATGGGGATGCGTTGAACTTAAATAATTAAAAAAAAGGACAATTATGTAATCCTTAATTATAGTTTAATTAATCAAGTAAGGAAATTGCCTGCCAAAAAATCATCGTCGTACAAGTTTGGCTGTCTAATAGCGTAGACGCGGTTGACACAAGACTATGAGCTGGGCATATATCTGCAGCTCCATGTATTACTCCTCTAATTCTAAATGTAAAATTTATGCACAAGTATAAAAGTTTATATTTAGGATCGGAAAAGTAATTATATATTACGACTCATGTCCATCAGATTCTTGCAAATTGCTAGCTAGGTATATATTTCTTGATCATCCGATCTAAATGGGGGAAATATATTGTGTGGCCAAATATTTTTATTTCAATGGTAATGGGCGAGTAAGAGAAGAGGGTCTCTTATCTTCATATATCCTTCCTTCTGCAGATGTAGACAGGTTTGGCTGTGTAGATCGGTTCAGTGCTGGTTGTTTTTGCCATCAATTTCTGGGGGCTTCGCCCACAGTCTTTTTTTTTTTTTTAATTCGGTTTAAATAATAACATTTTTTTCTAAACATAAGTATCATCATAACAGAAGTAATCATGTTCAAGATATATAAGATATTAAATGTGGACACATCTTTTAACCTAAATTAAAATATTAATTTGCTACATTATAAGGGATTGGTTATTTTTACGAAATCCAACCCATTAGTTAAATAAAAACATTTTGATTTATCATGCCCAGGTTTTTATATTTGTACAGATTCATATAACCATTCGCAGATTATGCAACGGACACATGAAGAAACATTATACTCTCATGATCTTTAATATAAAACTCATTTTGTAAGATAGGTATATTTTCATAAGAATGAGAACAAAAGCTTAACTTGTATAGCACATAAAAATATGTTTAAAAAGTCAAAAAAAGAAATGATTTTGTACATGAGAAATATTTTATTATTTGATGGCTGAATTGTACGCTGCCGCCCTTGGTGAGACCACTAAGTGCAAAATCCAAGCTGTTTCCAGGAAGTAAACAGATTTAAGGGATAAGATATAGAAACTTTATGTGTGTGTGTGTTTTTTTTTTTCCTTTGACAAAAAAAAATGTGGCTTTTTTTCTTGAATAGGACTTGCAATTTTGATTTTTTTCATTACCGATGCGGGGAACTTCCGTGTCTTTCAGTCATATATAACGCCTTTTTGGATGATTGTATCCAAAGGAATCCTCACCTTATTATTCCAACCAATTTTCTTTTGGTCGGTACCATCTCATCTTCATGTTCATATCTACTACTTTTGATTTTTAATATAAAGACTAGATAATAAATTTATAAATATTAAAAAAAATTAATTTAGCTATTTATGGTAAGTGACTGTTATATTTTTAAAATATCATTGTTAATCATTTGTATTAGAATGAAAATTATTTAACATGTGCAATTATTATTAATATTGACTACTTTAAAAAAAATGAATAAATATAAAAAAACAAAATGAGTTATGATCTTATAGTTAGGACCAAATTGAATCTCTAATTAGTTTTTATATTTAGGAGTAGAGGTGGTGTCATGAAATGATTTTAATTAAGTCAATTAACCCTTTAATCATTTCAATTTGAATGCGCCAGCTAATAACTGTGCTGTTTTTTACTAATTGTGATGTTCATCATTGTTTTTATTTTATGAAAGTAAGTGAACTATTTTTCTTTTCTTCTCTTTCTGTGTGTTCTGTTCGATAGGTAAGATTGCATTTTCTAACATGATTTAAGGTGAGCCGCACAGCACCGTTCGTGACAAATTTATAGTTCATGATATTCTAGTCAAATTTATATATAAAAAAAACTTAAAGGAGGCGTTTTCAAGTCCTTTTAATAAGGCACCATATGGATTATTGATTGTAATTCTTCTCCTTTACCCCTTTCAATGTTGATATAAGAAAGCGTAAAAAAAAAATTTTTTAAATTTTTTTAATATGGCTAAATTGATGGATTCAATAAATATTAAAATTTTCTTTTGTTCTGATAAAAAAATTCTAAAAGCGATTAATAAAAAAAATTGAAAGATGTATTAATTAATTTGAATTTACTCATCTGATCCTAAATATAAAACCTATTTTATAGTGTAATTTATACTATAAAATAGATTTTATATTTAAAAAATAAGCTTTATATTTAGGATCTGAGAAATATATTTTTAAGAAGACACTCGTTCACCTGATAAATTGAGCTGAATCTCAGGAATGACATTTTAAGGGCCCAAAGGGCTTTTAGCCCAAGTCTCTTTGAGATCATGGTTTGGACTAGGATATCCTCAAAGATGAATAGACTTTTACCCATCGGGGCCCATCTAGTAAAAAATAATAATCGTAAATATATGAACCAGCTTGGTGTAGTGGTGGGTAGCCTTATCGCAAAAATCATTTAGAACCAGGGTTAAGCCGAATGAATCGGTTCATGTTTTTCTTACTCTGCTAAAGTTAAGAAAAACTTCATATAGTACTAATTTAGGAATTTCATTAAAAATATTGCCTCTAAGTTAGTAATTATATACCTTGATTTAGAATTTTTACTCTAATAATAATACTACCTCCGGTCCTAATTATAAAAGCCAGTTAACTAATTTGAAGAGATTAAGGAAATAAGTTGAATTAGTTATTTGTCCTAAATGGGTATTGTCTTTCCTAAAATATCCTTGCTAATCAAGTGTATTGACTAAAATTATTAGAAAGGCTACTTTAGAAAAAAATATATAAATATGAGAGACAAAGTGGATTGAAATCTTATATTTAGAACCAAAATAAAAATCAAATAGGGTCTTATATTAAGAATCGGAGGTAGTATTTTTTCCCCTCAATGGGTATACTAAGCGCCCTAGCGCGCCAAAGCACCCAAATGAAGCCCGCCAAAATATGCGGCCCAATCTTCATTTCATTTCTCGTGTACGACGCCATCTAAGCCTGCTAGATTCCTTCACCGTTCTCCGTCACTGACGGCAGCCGTTGATCCTCTCTGCTCCACCGCTGATTGTCGTTGTGACTATCACGTTGGCGACAAGGAGGAGTTGTAACTGGGCTAGGTGTTTCTTTTTTCCATTTTACTCTAGTTCTTCCTGGAATTGCTTATTCTATATCCGTTTTTATGGGGATCAGATATTGAATTGGAAATTCGTGGTTTTTGCCGTTTCTTTTGTTGTAGTTCAAGCACTATAAAGTTTTGTAAGAGAGGTTATTTTTAGTTTTCAATTTGCATTCTCTTCTTCAATTATCATTTCTGTCATTTTTCTTTTGTGATTGGATTTGTTGTAGTATGTCCACTGGTACCGCGTAGATTAATGTTTTAATTTCATCCCAAACAGAATTAGTGCTGAACCTGATACTGAAGAGGAACTTCGAGTGTGGGAGACATGTCAAAATTGCGAACACTGGTGCAAGCTTCTCTAAATGCTACAAAGAAGGGTATCCTACAGAATCAATGCCTTATTTGCATTGCTGACCAAAGCTTTGCAACTTTCATAGCTAACCCTTGGCTCTTTCCTCTATTTCCCCTCTCGTGTGGCCAAAAGCTCATTTCTCTGATTACTGCGTCTGGCTTGGCATTTCAATTGAAAAAAAAAAAAAAAAGAGTTTGGATGCTTTTGCGTAGGGTTTGCTAAAAGTTTATATGATGATTTCGATTTCGGCTGACTCTGTCTCTTTTGTGGTTGGGATCTTTCGGGCAACATGGAAAACAGCCTTTACATGGAATGTTGAGGATTTAATGCCTCCAGCAGAAAGATACATATTCAATTTCAATTCGAAGGAGGAGTTGAAGAAATGGCATCTATACTCTGATTCTGAATATGGAGGTATGCAACTCTATTTTATGACTGCACCACTGAATGCAATCCTGAGACTGACATTAATGATAGCGAAGGCTTGTGTACCTTTGCGTGTCTGTATTGAGGAAATGGCATTTATACTCTGATTCTGAACATGGAGATATGTAGCTCGTTTATGACTGCACCACTGTATGGAATTCTGAGAGTAATAATATGAAGGCTTGTGTTAGGCTGCAAATTAGATTTTAATCTTTATTTCAGAATTCTGAAAGCAGGTCTTGACAGTAATTACTTATGAAATAGCTGTGAGAATCGTATTAGCTAAGGATGAAAATTGAACTAGAGATTATTTTTGTGAAATAAAAAGTATAGGCAGAATTGAAAGGTTTATTGTGGATGATTGTCCAACCAGTCTGCCTAAATGCAATGGTTCTGGATATGATCTTATAAATATTTGGTGAATTGAACAAAATCCTTTGAAGAACCTCTCATCATGATGAGATGGTTCTGGATTTGAATAATATACAATGGTTCCTTCATGTCTGTTATGCAACAGTTATCAATTCATGTTCAATTTCTATCCAGGTTTGTCCTCGGCATCATTAGAGATAACTGAATCAGAGAATGGACCAAGTGGTAAGTCCAACTTAGTTTTACCCGAGACTGCTCCTGCATATTATATCCATTACCTTCATGTGATAAAACCATGCCTGAATGTGATTGGCAACAGTTTTCAAGACAGAAGCCTTATCCTTTGAAACTAGACTAACCGTATCGTGTACTTTAATAGACAGTGTGTGACTTAAGACACAATAATGTCATGGTTGCACGGTGTTGGCCCCCGATCAATTGGCATCTATGCACTTGCATGATTGTATCACTTGCTCTTTTATAACGCTTCCTGTTAGGTCAATGGGAAATAGTTTTTGTATACAATAAACTATGCCTCAGACTGTGGTTCAAGGTTCCATTAGAATATTTTATGACATTTGTGCTGATAAATTATGTAGCATTTGCTAGATTTTTGAGACTTCTACTTTGTTTGGTGAATTTTTTTTTCCTTCCCCCCCCCCCCCAAACCTTTTTTGTGTTTTTTGACATGTCGTTAAAGACTGACTTTTGTATCCGTATAATATCTGATATCTTCTGATAGGGGTCTTCTCGGGAAATCTTTCTTTGGATGTGTCTGAGGATTCAAAATGGAATATAATGAGAAGTGGCTTCTGTGGAATGCGATCAAAAAAGGTGGTTGCTTCTTTTCTACACTTAAAAAAAAAAAAAGAAGTCTTCTCAGGATTTAGAGCTGCAAATAACTAAATCTTCTTCTTTCCTTGATCTGTTAACTGCCAACGGAAGAACTCTCTGCTAATGGGTAGAGTTGATTCAATATGAATGTTGAATTTTGCTTCTTTAAATAAAAATAATCATTAGTAGCTGGGTTTTGCTTACTACATGAACAGTATTAGCATCATTCTTTAGGTTTGTTGAATATGGTAGTGTTTTCGCTGTCTCGCTGACTTGCTTCCCCGTGGTCTCCTTTATATTCATTCTACTCAATATCATGTGACCTCTTTTGACAATTATTTGCATCTTTGCAGTTTGGTGGCTGCATAGATTTGGATTCATATGACACTATTGCGATGAAACTGAAAGGAGATGGAAGATGCTATATATCTACTGTGAGTACCATTTTTTCTCTCAAAGTCAAGAATTAGCAAAATTCAGAGGCTTTAAATTCTAAGTACCTTTCCAAGTCCCAAGTGCTTTAACTTGTCTTATTTTGGTGCAGATCTACACAGAAAATTGGGTAAACTCACCTGGACAGCAGGAAGATAATTCATGGCAAGCTTTTGTTTTTGTGCCCAAAGACAACTGGTATATTGCAAAAGTAAGGCCCTTTTCCCCCTAGTGCATACAAAACCAGATGCCAATTCCTCATATATATCACGTTGCTAAAATAAATCGCCTTTTTGTAAAAGCAGCCTTTTACACACTTGAAATTGTTAATTGGTGAGTAAATCAGGATTTGGAAGCCCTGATCTAAACTGTTTGAAACAAACAAAACGTAACTTTTAGATGGCTTTTTTTAAAAAAAAATATTTCTTTTATTTTCCACTTGTGACGTTATGTCCCCAGCAACTTAGGCTCATCCTGGGTACTGAAATACTGTAGCGGGCGCATGTCTTTGGGATTCTTTTGGTAAGTGAATTTCGACAATTTCGATATTTGCTTAGCGTTTTCATTGACTTATCAGATCCCTCTTGCTCGATATTTGCCTACTTGGAGGGGGAATGTTATAGATGTGGAGATGGAAATGAACCCATCTCGGATTCTTGGAATGTCTCTGTCTGTGAATGCTGAGGGTGGCGTCCCAGGTGCTAAATCTGGACCAGGTGATTTCAAAGTTGAACTTGATTGGATCAAGGCCTTGAGAACTCAATAAAATCAGGCAAAGGATTCAGCGAAGTATTGGTCACACGCCATGATGATTTTCCCAAGTAGCTGAAGAATTTTGATACTGTTGTGTAATAATACTGTATCACAATATTCCAGGAAGGGAGGAACATTTCATTAGTTATCCCTGTATCGAAGAATTTTGCAATTCATGGCTGGGGTTCTGTAGCATAATGTGAAGAAGACTAACACCTTTCACTATATTTTTTCTCTAGTCATAAAGAGAGCTTCCTGGTTCCTATTTATTCTTCCAGATGGGAGATCTGTGGTTCATGTGTGACGATCTAACATTGAATTCACAATTCACATTTTGTAAATGCTCTTATCCCAAGGATCATGAAAAGCTTTTAAAATGGCAAGACCGAAGGCAGTATTTGAATTTGTTGGCTTGTTGCATATGGTTATGCTTTACTAGAAGGATCAGAAATTGGTTTAAATCTTAAACACAGGCCAACTAATCTGGCTTGGTACGCTACGTGACAAGGACATTATGAGAAAGAGCGCGGTGTTTCCAAGACTTTCTCTTAATCTATAAGAATTAGTTTGACTTTTAATTTAGTTCTAAATATAAGATCTAATTTATTTTGTGTTTCATATTTATCTCTTTTTTTTTCAAACTGATCTTGTTTACATTCCATTAACTATAATTAAATACTACCACTACAATTCAAAGGGATATTACATGTAAAAAAATTCTACTTTCTCTGCCCTTCTCGCTTCTCTACTAATTTAATAATTAATAATCTAACGGTTGGCAAAAATAATAATCAATAACCACCTTTCATCTGTTCCGGTCGGGTGAGATGGTTGGAAGTGTTTTTTTTTTTTTTTTGCCAAGTGGAATTGATTTATATTAATCACGCTGTGAAATATATTCTGAAACAGAATATATAATAAATCAAAGCAGGACAAGTGACAGAATAAACATACACCCTCACCTGCATCAGCACGCATACATATATTCACAATGCTATGAAATAACCATACATTGGGCGAGCTTTTGATCAGGTATTGTATTTTTTAAAATTTTATATAAGGTATTTTTGGAACATCAAGTGATATTTATTATTATTAACTAATTTAACTAAACTTCTTAATCTTTTCAAATTAGTCAACTATATCTTCTACTACCTCTGGTCCTAGATATAAAAATTAGTTGACTAATTTGAGGATATTAAGAAATGAGTTAAGTTAGTTATTTGTAATAATTAGGTGTTGTCTTTTCCTAAAATATCCTTACTAATCAAGTGTGTTGTCTAGAAACTACCATTACTAGAAGGACTACCTTGAGAAAAAAAAACATAAATATTATATATAAAGTGGATTGAGGTCTTATATTTAGGACCAAAATAAAAATCAAATAAGGTCTTATATTAAGTACTGGTAGGATTAAGTACCGAATATAATATGTTTGTATGTGTGGGCCCGCACATCAAATAAAGTTTCACTTAGAATGTGGGACATATTTGCATAATCTTACATGATATATTGTCTTCAAGGATTACAATTTACAAAGGAACAAGGAAATCTTCTTTCGTATTTATCATCATTTTAATGAAGAAACACGCATTACACGTCATATTTGGAGGAGACAAGATGCGTGGAAGGCGTCAATTCATTGAGGTGAAGCCAAAGAGAAGGATTGCAGAATCAGTAGCACTTCTTTGCTTTGTTGTTATTCACTTTATGGGGCGACGATGCGCATGTATCAAAACTAAAATTATCCAAACAATTTTCTTACAAAATTGTTAAAGTTATTTTTTATATTTTATTGTCACCATTATATTCCTTGAATTTGTAGGAAAAAAAATCATGTTATAGTAAAGTCCAAAAACTGCATAAAAGAATTCTAGGGACTTCATTCGAATTTTAGATTTAAGGGATGTTTGGATAGAAACTAAACCATAATTTCAGAAATGTTTTTACGGTTTACGAAGTAAATACGTAAAGGAATTAGTCTTATTTTACAAAAAGTATTTCTAAAACTATAGTTTGGAGGTTTCAAAGACCTTTTTTAAGGGCCAAATATCACATGAGAGTTTCGATGCCAGACCACTCCTTTTTGAGGTTTGCGTGTTCCTTAGCTATTACCTGAACTGAACTAACCAACCATTATTGTCGTCTTCGTAACTCATTGGGCTGCTTTTAGATTATTGTCTGTGTCGGGGCCATAACTTCGTGTATGCAACTTTGGTCCTACGCCTTTCTCCATCAGGTATAGTATTTGATTTGATATATTTTTCTGGTTTTATTTATAAGTCATTTCCAATATATTTTACACATGTTAAAATTTTTTTTCAATTTTATTAACTCTCATGTAAAATTTAATAACTTTTTAATTTTATCCCTATTTAATATCAATTATATCTCATATAAACAAAGTCAATATAATAATAAATAAAAGGTAAAATTGTACATCCATGTAAAAATTTCTCTAAGTATCTTATAAATAGAATAAAAATTGATACAAATTGTCCAATTTGCTGTCTAAAAAATTGATATAAATTGCCAAAAAGGATTTAAGATTTTTCTCTGGGATCTATAATTGACAACCACATCCATAAGAATGATGCTTGACAATGACCAGACACGTGTCTGGATTAAATCATTTAGCCTTCAGATAACATAAAATTTTTTTCCACTCCGCACTTCTGCGCGCATTCAACCCAGTCAATTTGGGACACGTTGGGATGGGGAAAAAAAATTTCCGCAAATTAAAACTATGAAGAGGGACAAAACAGTGCCCGGGTCTTGGAGTTTTTTTTTTTTCCAAAAATTATTTATTTATTAGATTATTCAATTATTTTTTAAAAATATTTATTTTTTATAGTGATTTTCTGCTTTTAAATTAGAATATAATCTCAATAAAATCTTCTCCCTCAATAAAATAATTTATAAAACCATTATGGTATTTCTTTTATGGTAATTCTTTTTATACTTTTATTACATTATATAGTTCAGCTTTTTACATAATATTTTTTAACATTTTTATCTTAAGAAACTCAATAAAAAACAAATATCACAACATAAAAAAAATCCAAACCCATATTACATTAGTTAGGGGCAAAAAAAAAAAAATCCCATTTCATTCCTGTTGGCCTGAAGGCATGGGACGGACCGGGACAGAAGGAGCCCTAGTGGTAAGAACTTAAAATGAAGAAATGGCTAACTTTAAAAAATGGGGCTAAAGGATTATTTTATTTCAAAATCAAGTTTTTTTGGGGCTCCGCGATTGCATTTTCAGGATTTTAACGCTAATTTATCTCGTCCGACCCATTTTCCAGAATCTACAATTATTACTGTGTGACCAGAATGATTAAGCTCTGGTGTTTTTTTAATAATTTATAGTTTGAAGTTTGAAAAGAATCAAAACGACAAAAAGATTCCTAAGGATTAAAAAAAATTAAAATAATACTTGGACCATAGTTGAAAAGAAAAATGACGTTGATGTCCCCTGCATCTTTCTTCCTCCTTGAATTGACAAAATTCCTTTTATTTTATTACACACGAAGAATTGAACATGATTAACTGAGTCATGAGCTATGGGACATTTGTAAGAATATTTGTAGTAACTGAGTCACAACCTTATTTAGACGCTACATGCTACATCATAAATTTGATATACTCGTATTTATTATTAATATAATATTTTTACCAGACCACAAAGAGGGAGTGAGAAAGAACCTTCTGGAGAAGCCATGTCAGAAAATATCTGTAGCACCGGGCAATCTCAACCGTCCATCATAGCAAATCGAACATGTCATTAACAAAAACTTCAATTAACTAGCCAAAAAGAAAAAGAAGATGAAAACTATATGTTATGCACAAACACACACACGCACATTTTACATATATGAGTCAAGATCTGGATTGTTCCTGAAGCTTAGAGAGGAAGTAGGAGGAGCTTCTTCCTTCTTTGTCTCCAGTTAGTGTTACTGCAGATTTTGTGTGCATTTATTTGAGTTGAAACGATCATATATATAGGAATGGCTAAGGAAGGAGGAGGAGGCAATAATGATGAGTTGTACGGGGTTCTGGGTTTGAATAAGGATTGCTCCCGATCAGAGCTCAGGCATGCCTACAAGAAACTTGTTCTGGTTAGTTACCATTTCAATCCATTCTAATTCCCTCATCATTTTTGGCAGGGGAATGAATATATAATTGTGAGAAGGGTTTATGCCTTTATGGTGAGAGAATGTTTTTAACTTGTTTGGTACATAGAAATGGCACCCGGATCGTTGTTCGGCGTCGGGGAATCCAAAGGCCATAGAAGAAGCTAAGAGCAAGTTCCAGGCAATCCAGCAGGCCTACTCTGGTATTTCTTCCCCTCTTTTGCTTTCTGCCTAGCTGATGCAAAATTTTTTTTTAAAAAAGTGTCTTTTTACAATGGTTCAACGAAAGAATTTTTATATCGATTTTGTAATAATCAGTATAAATGTAGCCAACAAGTGTTGATCTAAATAGAAGAGACTTGGTACCTTAAATATCATATCTTAGGTTTAATCTTTAGGGCGGTGTGTATGGAACAAACACTATTGAGAGAATTCCTACTACAACGCCTGACAGTACCTTGAAATATTAGTCTCTCACTGTGCGGGTGAGAAGATATTTCGGGTGGGAGGATACTCTTAGTAATAAAAAAAATCAGTATATATGCAGCTGATTGGGAAAAAAAAAAGATCAGTGTTAAAAAAAAAGAATAATACGGCATCTTATTCATGAAAGAGTATTATCAGTCACATTTTGTACTTGCTCCAAAAACTTACGGTAAAAATGCGTAAATTTTTGTTTTTGGTTTTGGATAGGCTGTAGTGATATGTTTGGATTACTTGAATTACTAACCTGAAAATTAAGAATTGATGGTGGCGTGCGTGGTAATTACGCGCAACAGTGTTGTCAGACGAGAACAAAAGGTTTCTGTACGACGTAGGAGTGTACGACAACGACGAGGACCAGGACGTGAGTCTTTCATTTACGCCTACGTTCCCTGCTTTCTTCTCCTTTTCTCATCCTCCTCCTTGTTATTTCCTCGTCTTGGATGCATGACAATGAAACTTGTTTCTGCTTCTTTTTCTATTCTTTTTTTAAAAATAATTCTTAAGCAGCATATGAGCAGAGACATGTACATGTGAGATATTGTGTGTGTGTGTGTGTGTGTGAGTAAGAGACAATTACTTGGTTCAATGAATGCCACCGCTCATCATCATGCATCAACTTTGGATTACAATCTCTTAATTTTTTATCAAGGACGCACGCCTGATCCTTTGTATTTGTGTGTACATGCATATGTGTGTGTGTTTGGATGCGACTTTTGAAAAACCAGAAGTCAATTTTAAGAGTATTTTTAATAAATTATTGTTTGGATATATTACCTCATATTCTAATTATTAGAACTAGTTGACTAATTTGAGAAGATTAAGGGGAGAAGTTAAGTTAGTTATTTGTAATAAATATTTGTTATCTTTCTTAAAATATTCTTGCTAATCAAGTATATTGGTTAGAACTACTATTGTTAGAAGGATTATTTTGAAAAAATATATATATGAATATGAGAGGCAAAGTAGATTTAGGTTTTATATTTAGGATTAAAATAAAAATTAAACAAGATCTTATATTAATGACCGAAGGTAATATTTGGATTTGATTTGTAAGTGTTGATTAATTAAAATATTATTGTTGGGGTGCAGGGCATGGGTGACTTCTTGAACGAAATGGTATCAATGATGAGCCAAACGACGCCTGAGGTGAGAGCCCTCTTATCCTTTTTATCTTCTTTATAGAGTGCAATTCTTTTTCTTTATTCATTTATTAAATGCTTTCCTGTTCCGCCGTTAGATTTCACCCTCTTTCTGTTTTAATTATATTTTATTGTTGTTTCTTATGTTTGTTTAGTGGATAAAGCTAATTTTAACTATGTATGTGTCCATCCCCTTTTGTCGACTCCTACGTTGTTGTAATCGCTTTTTCGGATCTAAACGCTCTAAATTTGATTTTTTTTTCCCTTTTTCATGTTAGAAATTTATCGAAATAGAAAATGACAAGAGAGAGAGAGAGAGAGAGTCATTAATCCATATGTCTATAAGCTGCTTGGAAGGCCCATTACTTGCGAATAAATATTTTGGGCTACTGGGCTCTCGAAGGCCCATAAATCTGTACCTGTAAATTAAAAGGCACAGTGTCATATTATGTCTACTAACCAACCAACCAATAGGAGTTGGGTTTAGCAGAAAGGGTTAGTCTCTCACAATGTGATGAATTAAGGTTTGAATCTCTGTTGGAAGAGGTGCTCACATTTAGTGCCTGACAGTGTCTCGAATATAATTACCTCCAATAAGAGGATACTTATGCGTTAGCAAAAAATATTATGTCTACTATTGATGACGAACTAAGATTAAGATTCGAATATTTATTGGGAGAAATGTTCACATTTAATGTTTGATAGTGCTTACCCTTATGCTTAACGGAGAAAATTATTATTGAAGGTTACTGTAGTCCGTGGAAATAGGGTTCTGCTCATAACCCGTTTTAAACGTTTGATTCTAATTTAGTGGTCCACTAAAAAGTAAAAAATACTCGATTTTTAAGGAGATATCTAAAATACTCTAATTATGTCTATCATTTGAGGCAACAGGAAAATGGGGAGGAGAGCTTGGAGGAGTTGCAGAAGCTGTTGGATCAAATGTTTGAATCTGATAACGCGACAGAAGCCAATGCATGCTATGCTTCTTCTTCTTCATCTACGTACGTGAGTTTCAAAACTACTTATAATTCTGCTGACTCTGATGTCAACAACGTTATTGGGAACTCCCAGGAATCTTTTCACTTCGATCATGCCTACAATAACTTCTGTTTAGGGGTCAGTATATATTTATTTATTCATGCTTTTCCTTCCTTTCTCCTCCCTCCTACATTTTCAAGCTATGCTGCACATCATGGACCAGAAAAAAAAAAAAAAACTTCAGATAGATGCTTTGCCTAGCAAAACCACAGAATCATAACACAGGTTTCTTGGTGCGTACTCAATTATTTACAATTTGGATCCACTTAATTCTTGTTGGTTTTTGTTTTGTTTCAAATTTTGGGATGTGAAGACAAATGGAGCAGCTTCAAGATATGAAGAAGGGGAAAGGAGAAAGAAGATGAGAGGTAGCTAATTAAGGAGACGCAGGGTTCGTAGAAAGCAAAAGGACTAATCGTTTAATTCAATCTCTAGTTTGACGTCTCTGCTTGTTCATTATGAATCATCAATTTGGTAAAAGCTGTATATAATTGCGTTATGACTCCTAACAAAGCTAATTAAAACTAATATTTTTCAAAGAAAATAGCATGGAAAATAAGCAAAATCATCAACATCAACATAACTATAGATCTCATAGAAAGCCAAAGTGTTTACAAGGTATGATAATATAAAATAATACTAACTGTTTAGAAGGCATGATATTATAAAATAGTACTATCCCATGTCCTTAATATAAAATAATATTTAATTTGGTTTTAAATATAATATCTGAATTTATTTTGTCTCTCATATTTTTATTTTTTTAGGATAATTTTTATAGTTGTAGTATATGTTAAATGTTTTATCAAATAGTAGTTTTAACTAATACACATAATTAATAAGAACATTTTAAGAAAGATCATATTTTATTTGTGATAAATAACTAATTTAATTTAATTTTAAATTTAATCAATTATTTTTTATATTAAGAATATGAAGAGGTAGTGTTCGAGTTAATCGGTTGTCTTGTCAGAGTAAAGATGATTGACTTCTGCGTTTTGCATTATTGGGATAATAGCGTGTTCTAAGGTTAGGGGCTCCAATTTCTGTGAAGCTGCACTCATGCTCCATGCCAAAACTCGAGTGATTTGCCCTCCTGTTTGACTTATTTGATGTTAACTTAACACCATACTCAACTATTTATCAAAGGAAAATACACAAGAAACAACCTATCAAGTGAATCATCAATTTACCATAGCCACATCTTCATCCGTATTGAAAATTCCAACTACTTTATTTTTCCCCGGGAAATTTTTATTTTTCTGACCAGCTTCTTCCCCGGGACATTATATATATGTATGTAGCCATATGAGAGATCTGCTCTAATAATTTGAAAAAAGATATATATCTTTTATTGATAGAGTATGTTATTTTTTGGTTTGTGCCTCGTCAAAAGGATTAAGCTATATATATATATATATATATATATATTTCGGGCTTGTTTAGGAGGGCTTAAGAAATCTCCTATGAGCACGTTTCATGTAAATTGAAACAAAATTTATCTCACATATTTACCTCGTATTCTGTAAATCACTATTGAAAAATTACTTATAAACTACTTATAAGATGTTCTAAACAGGTCCAAGTGAAATGGGTGTTAGCACCAACACTGTCACTTTTTTGTTTTCTTTCATTATCAAAAAGACCAATATCAATATTATTGGCTAACATTCTTACAAGAGAATTACAGTGAGATGATGACCCCAAAAAAATGCAATTACTAATGGATTTGAGTAGCAAGTGGACACTAAGGGTGTTTGGCATTCTCAAAATGCGGTTTTAGAAGAACTTTCCTGCAAACGAGATAAATCCTCCACAATTTTACTGTCGTAATCCGTAAAACACTTTTGAAACCATGGTTTGGTTTCTATCCAAACACCTCCTAAGTAATGTCAACATGTTATTATTTTCACGCTGAAATTTAGCATTGCATATTGAAAAAAAAAATAGCCTACTTGTTTATTAAGAAGAGATGGAAAATATATTCAATATTATTGGATTACACAGGTGACCTAACTTATTGTTTGAAGAAACCTTCCACTTCAATTGATATTTTTTCACGAAAAGCAAATTAAGATAATAAATCTAACTTTTACTAAGATTTTGAATAGCTAATTTGAAATAAGTTGATTAGGTTTCACTTCTTGGAAAAAGTCGACCAAACAATTTTCAATCATTGTCTTTGCAGATCAGATTATTGATATATATACAAAAAAAAAACTCAATAAGTAATTGGACTACTTTATAACCAAGATATTATCAAAATTCTCCCTTTAGTCGCAATTTTACAATAGCTTTTCACCCTACTTTCCTGACGATTTCGGTATCCAAATAATTGAAGCTATGAATTCGTTCACTATGGTCCGTTTGGCAGAGGAGTGAAAATCCCTTATAACATGTTTTTTAAAGAGATAAATTTTTTTCAGATATTTATCTCTTTCATAATTATTATTAAAAAAATTTATAAATTATTTTTTAAAAAAATTTGTAACAAAAATTTTTTTTTTTTGCCAATAACATGTAACAAACATTCACATCATATCGTGTCATAGCTGGAAAAAAATTAAAAAAATAATTAAATATACATATTATATGTTTCTTGTGATTGACCCCCAAAACCACCTTTCTCGTCTCTTTTACTTTACCAGTACACAGAGTAAACCCCATGAATATAGGAGACAGCATTTGGCATCCAGATTCCTGACAACCCTGCTTCTCTCCGTCGTCCCGTCGCAATCGTTTAGTCCTCTTTGAGTTGTTCTGCTGAGAAGTGAGAAACGAATCATGGGTTTTCTGCACAAGCTCTGGGACGAAACTCTTGCCGGCCCCACACCCGACACCGGCCTTAGCAAACTCCGCAAGTTCGATTCTTCTTACCCACCCGTCACTCCGATCGTCACCATTACACGACCCAGCTCCGATCCTCGACGCTTCTCCTCCGATTCGGCTCTTTTGACCTGTAATACATTTCCATCTCTCAACACCTTTCTGTTAATCTTTGTTAGTTCTCTCACTTTTGAGTTGAGTTTACGTCTTTGATGGGTTTGGGATTTTTGCATGCAGCGAGATCGCTGACCGGCGGAGATCTCGAGATATTCACGAGGGGAAAATCTTCAGTTCAGTCACCGGTGCGCGCGGGGACTACGACTCCGACTGAGTTTTATTGGTGCGTCATCGTCGTGTATTGTTGAAATGACGCTCATGTCCCTGTGCCTCTGTTTCTTAACTCTCCTCTTTCATGTTGATGCTTACTTACAGGGTAATGATAAGGGCTTTGGATCGTTGAGAGACAGAGAGAAAGATGGAGTATGTGAAATATATTGGTCTGATGGATATTATTCGGCAGAGGGATACTTCTTTGAACGCGCGTGTGTGTGTATATAGAGAGAAAGGGAGACAAACACAAATAAAACATTCAGTTGTCAATTAGATGGGTCAGATGCAGATCAGTAATTGCAGGAAAAGTCAGAGCTTCATGAGATTCTTAGAATGGAGGAAGAAGAAGGCAGGATTTGCTGGGTTCGACTACTTTTTTTCTTTCATTTCTCTGGTACTGGTGGCACATAGCCTCTTTTTTTTTTTTTTTTCCTCCCCATTTTTAACCTCGTCTTGCTTCTTTTTTCCTTCCTTCTGTACTGGGTCTTGCTTTTGTATGTATAAATGGATTACTTCTTTAGATGACAGATCCTATGAACGTTACTATACACTTAACTCTGTATTCCAAAATTACTACTCCATCCTTTTTCTTTTATGGCCCCAGCTTATCTCATTCGAGCTGTGAAGTTAAACATAAGGAGGTTCTGTGAAGAATTTCTATCGAATATCTCCATATTAATATATGAGTTATGATCGTGTGCATTAATTTGATCTGTGAGCATCAATACAATTTAGTGGGGTCAAAGGGCTTAAATCGAGTGCAATTTTATTTGAAGAGGGTTAAATCAAATAGCTTGAGGGTAAATTATACGTGAAAAATCACAATCCATTGAAAACTATATATAAAGCGAGCATCTTTCTTGCTCCTGTCCAAAAAAAATTCTGGGCAAAGCTTAGAGTTAACTAAAATCATATGAGAATGAGTCTTTAATCTGGACGGTGTGTGGGGTTTTAGGATTGATCCTTCACGTTCTCGATCAGATCAGCAGCATCTTGAATGGTGGAGATATTCTCAGCTCCTCCTCGGAAATCCCAAACTTCTCTTCTAAAGCCATCATAATTTCAACCTGCGTTGAATATTACATACAAGACAAACCAAAACAAATTAGAAAGGACTTCGCTTCATATAGGAAATCTTACTTACAATAGTGTGATCTGATGATGATTGAAGAGGCCTCACAGTGTCAAGAGAATCAGCACCCAGATCTGCAAATTTAGTTTGGGCAGTCACAGTGCTTTCATCAACAGAAAGCTGCTTTGCAATAGTGCTTTGGACAATTTGCAGAGTTTCTTGTTGAGCCTGCACCTTGGTACATAAAACACATTAAAAGGCTAATACATTTTGCTTCGACAAGACTTTATCTTTATATGCATATGCCAGTAATGAACATTTGATTGATTTGGTTTGTCCAAACTGCTTGTGTAAAAAAATTTGATAAGAAAAAGTTCAAGAAACATTTACAGTGGAGCATGAGATTTTAGTTGCAAAACTGCGAGAAAGAGAGAACTCTCTGGTTGTCACCATCTGCAACTGAACCTTATGCGTAAGTCTTAACCCTCCAAACATGGAACTACCCTGCCCATGAAAGAAAAATATAAGAAGCAGTCAATGAGTTCCCACCTTAAGATCCATTACAATTTGGTGAACTTTCAGTTTATAATTTACAGTATAGTATCTTCCAACTTAACCATTGAAATACTCATGATGTTATCCCTAGTCATTTGGTGGGTTCAACAATAAAGTGAAATGCGATTTCCTTACAGAAGTAGAAAGGCCATTAATGGGACGATGGCCTGTGGATTTGACGGCAGAGTTGAGGAGAGAGAGGTCAAGGAGGGAAAAAAGACAGAAGAGGCCATGGTTTATCAGAGAAATGATGCAGAAGAAGAATAAAAGCTAAGTTTGGAGGTTTGGAGATTCAGAATACATAAAAGAAGATCTGGGGAAAGTTTGAGAGGTTGAATCAATGATGACGAAGGGATGGAGCTTAGTGAGCCATGAAGCAGGCGGAGTGCACCAGAGAGAGATCCTCAAAACAAACGCAGCCATTTTGCTTTGTATTTGATTTTGCACGCCGAATTTTTGACATTTAGTGGGCTTTTCTCTTGCTCCTATATTTAAAAAAAAATTAAATAAAAATATCATGGTGCCACTAGTGACAGCGCCACCCGTCACATTATGACATTGATATGTTTATACTTTATATGCATGTATATATTTAATAATATAAAACCAAAAAAGTTTATATTTTCATTCCCTTTCAATTTTTTTTGTTTGTTTTAACGTAGAACATGCTTAGGAACAACGTTGGAACTTGGAAGAATAGGTGCAGCTCAGGAATAAAATTAGAATCAATTAACATAAAATACTCCCATTGTTTCAGCTTATAAAATGCTTTTAGAGAAAATTGTCAAAACTAATAAATATTCAAATACAATTAAAGACTTTAGTTCTCCACCAACATACTGTTGGCTGAGGTAGTAGTAGTTTCACCGAGAGAATACAAATTTGAATATCGAGAAACATGCTTATTAGGAGGAGAGTTGTGAGTTGGGATATCTTTATTTCACTTAAAAAACTCCAGTTCTCTTAGAAGAATTATGACCTTTTAATACTCCATTTGTTTAATACTAAGTTCTAATCAACTCACTCTTAATTAATAAAATGTACTTTTAAATAAAATCATTAATAAATTACTCTTCTGGTCCTAAATATAAAACCTTTATACATACTAATATAAGGGTTTTATATTCAGGACAGAAGGAGTACCAATTTTAACATAAAATGAAATCATGACATGGGCCTGAAAGAGAATACTCCTATAAGGAATATTGAAGAAAATAGCGTCTGCATTCAGTGCTCATCACCTGATGAGCAATCTGGGCCGTCCAGATTAGATCTGGACGGCCCAGATCTAATATGGATTGTCCATATATAATATTTTAAAATAATTATTTAAAAATAGAAAACATTATATTTTTAAAGAATGATAGTTAAAAGATTATTTTTATTTTTTATCTTATACTCCTTCCGTTCCTTATTATAACAGACATTTGATACTTATGGCATGTTCCCATATATAAGAGACACTTAAAAGTTGTCTCTAGTTTTTTGTATTGATTTTCTATTTTACCCCTATTTATTTTGTCTCCAACTCATGCTCTCCCTCCCTCCCACTTCTATTTCTTTTAATAATTTAATTGTTCTCTCTCATACTCTCTCTCCTTATTAATAGGGGTATTGTTGGAAAAAACATTATACTTTTTACACATTAATTGTCCTCAACTAATTTTAACTGTTTTTTTGATCAACATAATTTAGTTATTTGTCTCTTATAATAAAAAAACAGAAAGAGTACTTATTAAAATAATTATTTAAAAAAAATAAAATAAAAATTAAATCTGGATTGCCCAGATTAAGGTGCTCATCAAAACTGACCATCACCCAATACAAATCTAGGAAAATAGGGAAGGCGTGACGCCCCAAAACACTGCGTATTCCCGGGACTACCAAAAAAAACAAAAAAGAAAGCCGAAGCTGGGGGCTGAAAGAGAAGGGGCCACCTGCTTCTCTGCACTCTTATACTACGTAACCGGCCACCGGCCATCATCATCTGTGCCTTCGCCACGTGTCCCACCCGTCCCTTTTCGTTTTCGTCCTTCCCCCCACCTCTCTCTCTCGGTTTTCCCATCTCCCTGTGCGGCACCGCTGAATCGACAACTCACGCGCCCTCCTTCCCTCCTTCCCTTTCTCTATAATTACCTCATTGCCCCTCTCCCTCCCTCCCCTATTTATCGTCTTTGTCCCCCTTCCATTTCCAAAACATCTGAAAATTATGAACAGTCTACGTCTACAAATTTGTGCCTCCGCTGTTATGGCAATGAAAGAACCTTTTTATGAACAAAAATATATAGCACTATAAATTATTATCCCCCGCTCACTAGATGAGATAACTAGTATGTTTATTTTTCTAATTTTATTTTTATACAAAAAAAGTCGAGATTAGAATTGTTTATTGTATAAACTGCAGATAAGAATATATTCTTTGTTATTCTTCTGAAGAGTGGTAAATTTTTTTTTCATTAGATTTAGACATTATTTTCTGAATTTTAACTTTTTTATCTTATGAATGGAATATGGCTATATTTTTCATCCTTTCACATTATTAAATTAAAATAAAAATATTTAAAATAAATTTGAATGGTTTGAATATGGTATAACATTTCAAATTTAAAACAATTCTCTACTTCAATTAAGAAATTGGTAATTGATTTAACAAGTATTTTTTTTCCCTGCAAAGAAAATATTTTTTACTTTAAATTAGTAACGAGATTGATAAATTTTTTATTAAAAGAAAAACGCCAGATTGATAATTGGATAAAATTGGGCCCAAGAAATGTGATGGATAAGAACGGGGCTAAAATGGGGATATCACCGGAGCTGCCGTAGGAGGTAGCATCGGTAATTCGGACACAAAATGATGGGCGTTTATCGTCAACTTCTTAAAACACACGATAATAACGCAGAAGGTCCCCCTACGAAGCCGGCAAAAATCAACCTCAATGCCGCTGACGGAGTTTTCGGCGCCTTCCAATTGCATCGCTCCACGTGTCCCCTAATGGGATACCCGCCCGACGGACGCCGTCAAATCAAACCCCCGCCCCTCCCCCTTGCCGTCAGTTCAACCATTTCTGAAATTATAATAATCATACACAAGGAAAAAAGCGTCCGCATATCGCCGGTCATGCCAAAACTTTATGAAACCCTAATTTCGTTCTCTCGCTCTCTCTCCCCTTCTCTCTCTTTATCTGTTTCCCTGCAATTTGGCAAGTCGGCGGTGGAAAATTATGGAAGCTGACGACAAGATCCAGTCGCCTCGCTCGCCGGCCAGCGAATCTCTGGGTTCGCCGCGAACCAACGGTCGGATCACGGTCACGGTGGCTGCACCGGCGCCGTCGCCTCCCCAAAACAGCTTGGCACTGGCGCTTCCGGTCCAGCACCAGCAGCCGAAGGGTAATGGTGGTGGTGGAGGAGGGAGGGAGGATTGCTGGAGTGAAGGAGCGACGGCGGTGTTGATCGACGCGTGGGGTGAGAGGTACTTGGAACTGAGCAGGGGGAATCTGAAGCAGAAGCACTGGAAGGAGGTTGCGGATATCGTGAGTAGCAGGGAAGACTACAGGAAAACCCCCAAGACTGATATTCAGTGCAAGAATCGGATCGACACTGTGAAGAAGAAGTACAAGCTGGAGAAGTCCAAGATCGCGGCTGGTGGTGGTCCTAGTAAATGGCCGTTCTACGAGAGATTGGACCAGTTGATCGGCCCGACTGCGAAAATTTCTGGGTCTGGCGGCGGCGCTGCCGCCGGAAATAACACGGCGAACAGTTTGTCAACTCAGAAAGTGCCTCTGGGAATTCCTGTAGGAGTTCGTGCTGTGAATCAGAATCCATATCAGGCTCATCAACGACTTCAGAAGCCCCAGCTTCGGATGAAGACGCCAAGCCAGAAGATACAGTTGCGAAAGCGTGCTCCAGTTAACTCAGATTCGTCGCCATCTGAGAGAGAATCGTCACCTGTTTCGAGTGATAGTTTTCCACCTGGTACATATGAGACGAAGAGACCTAGAATGCCAAGAGTGATCAATTCTGATGCTATGCCTGTGGAAACGAAGAATAAAGGTTGGGGAAGTGCTATAAGGGAATTGACGCAGGCGATACTGAAATTTGGGGAAGCATATGAAAAAGCAGAGAGCTCGAAGATTCAGCAGGTTGTGGAAATGGAGAAGCAGAGGATGAAATTTTCCAAGGAGATGGAATTGCAGAGAATGCAGTTCTTCATGAAGACCCAGCTGGAGTTATCGCAGCTGAAGCGTGGTAAGAGAGGAGGAGGAGGAGGAGGAGGAAACGCCAGCAACATCAACAGTAACATTAACAATCATAGTGACAGTGATAACCTGGTTAGATTGGATTAGACTGTTCTTTGGAACGCTCGTTATTGTAGTTTTAAGTGTATTTGTAAATTTATCCCTTAACTGTATCTGTAAATTTATCCCTTAAAAAGACGAGGGAGCGAATTGTTGGTGCTATTTTAAATTCGATATTGGAAGATCGGATTACGCAATCGAAGATCTCGGAGCTGATCTTGAGTTTGGATTGAATTCGCCGATCGTCCCTCGTTTATACTTTCCGTTTTCCGTTTGTAGTTTTATTTTCTTTTTGTATATATTTTTTAATTTTTTTAAATTTTTGCTGCATGCATATTTGTTTAAATACTTTTTCGTAAATGTATGCTTAAAATTCTGTTTGCTCGTTTTCTAGGTTTAGCACAGTAGGAACTGGATTTGAGGTTTAAGGGTGTATGCTGGATATAATTTCATTCTGTTCTAGAACTTGAGCTTGCTTTTGTTGGATCAGATTTGCATCATCTAATTTCACTACGAAGAATTTGGATTTTTGTATTGCTGCAAAATCTTGAACTTTGGCGCGCTCCTGTTGCGAAGAATTTGGATTTCTGTATTGCTGCAAATTCTTGAACTTTGGTGCACTCTTATTTATGGGCTGACTTGTAGGCTTTAATCTAGGGCGTGTATTGGCATTATAACAAGTAGGATTTGTGTGTTGGCATTATAGCAAGTAGGATTTGTCTTGTGGGCACCTGGTATATAATTGATCTGTTTAAATTTCAACTTGATTGAAGGTGTATGTCTATAATATGCCAATTGGATATTAACTGCCAAATTACATTTTCATCTATTGAATGTTGAAACTGTTTCCGTTTTCCTGCCTTCAAATTTTCATAGCGTGTGCTCAGCGCAGAATCTAAAATTTGACTGGGATTTCTTGAGTGGGCCTCGATGATCTATTTTGGTTGTCAATAAATGAAAATGATGATGAACAATGTCTCTGGTTTGTGAAAAGGTCAGAGAATTGACAGTGATCACTTCACTAAGGGGAGATGAAGTCTGGCATGCCTCTTGAACTTGATTCTGCTGTATTCCAATTGTCTCCAAAGCGTTCAAGGTGTCGACAAACTTTGGTTTCGAAATGGTCTTGACTTGTAATTTTTCAATATCTCTCTTTTGTTATCTCTCTTTATCTTTTTAATCGGCAAATGTGTCCTCTTTGTTTCATCTTTCAAGTAATGGTCACTCCGAAACTAGCATCAGGATTGGCAAAGTCACTTCCAACTCATCTAAAGGTTTCAGCGCAAAAGTAGCAGGTTGCGCAAGCAGTCCGGTTAATGAAGCTAGAGATCGAGACATAAAAATGCTGTGACTTGGTTTACGAAAAGCTACGCTTGAAAGGTCAAAACAAGGAAACGGAAATAATGCTTCTTTGCTGACTTTTCCGCCTTTGTACGTATGCAGCGAAATTTCTGGTTCTTTTATGACTTGAACGTCCTTTGCCCTTTGGTGGTTCTAGATTTGTGCGGTTTTTTGAGCACAACAGAGGCTTTGGATACGGTCATAACCTTTGATGCAGAGATATCCTAGTTAGAGCAGCACGATGAAGGTACACTCAGGTAATAATAAAAAGCCACTTTTAGTTGCTGGCTCAGAGGCTGGGGGTGGAGAGTGAGATTGGGAATTGTGATAATTATCTGAGAAATGTGAGAGACTTGAAGGGGTTAGTCTTGAAGAGGAAGATGTTCAGGAGTATCGAAGTTCTGTCTATATAATTTTTCATTACCCCTTGTGCAGGGAGGAACGATGTTCGACTTTTCTGCATTTTTGCAGGACGTGATCCTATAATGCTTGTCTTCAGCTTATGATCCTGTTACCGATGATTTCAATTTTAGCAAGAGCAGGGAGGCACTATGCTTGAGTAGTGGTTGAGAAACCATAGTTACCGTTTTGCTCGAGAACGGGCGTTTGTCAAAGGAAAAATTTCCTCCAACTCTGCTGATATTGATATTATTTTAATGAACAATATTTATATCAAGTTTTATATATATACTCCTCCGGTCCTTAATATAGGACCCAATTCTTGAGTTGGTTTTAGTCCTAAATATAAGACCTATTTCTCATATTTATCATTTTTCTCTAAATTACCCCTATGGATACTCCTTCAACCATAATCAAGTAGAAGAGGGAGAGAGGGTATTAAAAAAGATGATTATGGTATTTTAGGAAAAATGTGTCACTTTTCTTATAATTAACTAACTTACCTAATTTCTTTAATCTAATCAAATTAGTTAAATGGGTCTTATATTAAGGACCGGAAGGGTATTATATTAAGTTTTTCAATCGCAATGATTATGTGTCTTATTTTCGAAATATTATTACTTCCGATCTTTAATATAAGAGTTAATTAATTTGAATAGATTAAGAAAATTAGTTATGTTAGTTATTTGTAATAAATATGCGTTGTCTTGTCGAAAATATACTTGTTAATTAAATGTATTGGTTAGAACTATCATTATTATAAGGACTATCTTAAAAAAATAGATAAATATGAGAGGTATAATGAATTGTGTTTTTATATTTATGGTCAAAATAAAAATCAAACAAGTTTTTATATTAAACATCGAAAGTAATAGTAACATTTAATGACATTTAATTATAAATATACACAAAACAATAAAAAAATAGATATATGATTACGTGTGATTGGAAAATTTGATATAGCTTGATACGATGGACACAATTTTATCTGAGTTTTTTCCTATTTTAATTGTTTCTGTTTTCAGTTTTGTCCCAGGCTTAATGGCTAAGGCCTATGATTCTTTTGAATAATGGCTTCTGTTTTTCACTCCTTTTCTTTTATTATGTGCTCTAAATGACATGAAGTAGAAACATACAAGAGGCAAATGCACATTCCACCATTAGAGATGGACACATTTCCGACCAGTATTTATAATTTGAATTCATTCTAGTATATTCACTACATCGTGAACACCGAGTCTTCCGATCCAATCGGTTGATGATTTGTGGATGGCTCGTGTCCAGAGGACGGGCACAACTTCAAAAGTAAATGTTCCTCCAGGACACACAAGAAATAGGAAAATTTGGCAAAAAAATCTTGTTTAAAAATTTAATTGACTAAAAAGATTTTTAAGAGTGCGCAGCTGTGACATGTGAGTTCAACTTTTTCTTCCGTTGTCTGTAATATATAAATGATTTTCATATTGATTATTATTGTATATTATTGATGATATGTTGTAAACAAAAAAAAAAGATTGTCTTTATAAATTATGGTTGTCCCTGTTCAAATTTAAGTTTTTTAATAAATTAAATTTTTAAACAAAAATTTTGAACCAAAATTTTCCAAAAAGTATTATCTACCTCAAATCCAGTGACTCCTGAAATCGAAATTGATTGACCGTGTCAGCGTAGTGTTTTGGGAAGGTCGGTCCTGCACACTCAAGAGCCGGGCACCCAGAGCGTGGCTTCTACGAATAGTAATAATTAAATTAAATGGATCACTTTGGAGGGGTGTTTGAAACAACCCATATTCACTTTTTAAAAATATTTTTTTTAAATCGAAATAAGTTTATTTATATATTTTTTTTTATACCGTAAAAGTATTTTTAAAATTATGATTTTATTTTTATCTAAATGCTCTTTAAGTTTCATGGAACAATATTTATTTATTTGATGAAATCACCATAATCTTTTGCTAAAAAAAAAAAAGATGAAACCGCCAGAATAAATAAAAAAACACGAATAATTGAAAAAGTGAATTTCAACTTTTTGGGTGTGATTGACTGACTACTTTGTCGTATGTGGCAGGGGTTTATTGTTGTTTAATATAAAACTTAACTAACTAATTTTAATAGGTTAAAAAAATTTATTAAGTTGATATATTTATAATAAATAAGTATTATCTTTTTTAGAATATCCTTACTGATCGTATGTATTAGTATTAGTTAGAACTATTTTAAAAAAATAGATAAATATGAAAGATAAAATAAATTAAAATATAATCAAATATTTGGCGAAATGAATTTTAAGAGACGAGCATGTGTTGGTAATATGTAAAGAAAAGACAAGGATAAGAGACAATTATAAACAAATTATCCGTTTGATTAAGTCATTGCATACTTGCATTGCGTTGATGAGATGTGAACTCATAGTTTTATATTATGGGAAACAAGCTAACGTCTTGTTAACCTTATCATGTTTTACCATTTGCTGCCTCTTATCTTTGGTACAAAAGTTTGTTTAATTTTTAATTTAGTTTTAATATAAGATTCTAATTTATTTTATTTTTTATATTTTTTTTTAAGCAGATTTTGTAATATTTGTATATGTTAAAGATTTTATCAAATAGTAATTTTAAGTAATACACATGATTAGTAAATGTATTATAAAAAACAATATTTATTTATTATAATCAATTAATTTAATTAATTTTTTAATTTCTTTAAAGTAGTCAATTAAGTCTTATATTAAAATTGGAAATATGATTTTTCTTTCATATTATATTTGTTTGATATAATTTAGATATTTTGCGACCGTCTTTTGGGTGAAATGGGGAAATTTATTTATTCGGTATAAACATTTACATGCGTTTTTGGGTGAAAAAATTTGACCGCTAAGTTAAGACATGAAATTGATTGGTTTCATTATGGTTGGTCGTGACCAGATTAGAAATAAAATTTGGTTGGCGGCAAACCAAATTTGGCCCAACGAAGTAATCAATGTGCGATTGGATTTAACCGCCACCACAACGATAAAAATTTCAGCCAACATGAGAAGATTCTACAGCCAACCCCATAACTGTAAATCCACTTCTGCCAAACACACTGATCACCTCCTTGAACCATGTTCATACTTCATTGTTTGTTGTGATTAACATCAAACAAATTTACAAATGCAATTGTGATTTATTGTCTGTAATCTGAATCGCTAGTCTCTTTCTCCCTCAGGCTCCCAAATCTCTCTCTCTCTCTCTCTCTACTGTATCTTTGAGCCACAGTGCAGAGGGAGAGAAAGTAGAAAGTGATTTGAAGGAGGAGTAAAGCGAAAACCATCTTGTCATCGTAGGGTTCTTGTGGCACTAAAAAAAATGATAATAAAGCACATTCCGTGGAGACAAAAGAGGGGATATAAAAAGACGAGGGAGCGAATTGTTGGTACTATTTTAAACTCGGTAGTGGATGATCGGATTACGCAATCGAAGAT